GTGAAGGACAATAGGGTGAATTTTAGGCAGAAACGAAAGTAACTTAGAATGTTTTCCCATCTCAATTTAAAGCTAGAGTTGTTTTCGCCTGTCGTGCTTCTACTTTTCATGTATTCGGACGTATATAAGATTTCAGAATTCAGAAAGAAAACGATCCCGTGCAACCAGGGGCGGAGCTAGAATTTACAAGCCACCCGGGCTACAAGTATAGAAAAGTAAACAAAAAATGATTATATCCTTTGTTAATTTTATCCGGGTATCACATATATATAATATTATACCCTTTGTTATATTATATAATATTATACCCTTTGTTATATGTATATTAATTTTCATATTATATCCCTTTATGTACATAAAAAAAATTGATCTATAATATAAATATAGAGCAACTACTCAAACATAATAAATTGATTAGCTATTAGTGGAAAACATGCTCACTTAATTTATTAAATGAAATGATTGGAGTTTAGGTTTGAATATAAATAATAATAATAATAATAATAATAATAATAATAATAAACATTACCACTTAATCTATTAGTTGACTAGAGTTTTTAAGTTAAAAAAACATGTTCTATGAAAGTTTACCCGGGCTGGAGCCCAGGTCAAGCAATGCTTGGCTCTGCCCCTGTCTATCACTATGTTTCATGTGTTTCTTATTAGTCATTCTGATTGATTTAAATATTTTGGTATGAAGTATAACAATATTGTTAATAATTATCTTTCAAAATCATAATAATCCATTACACTCATACTTACATGTGAAGTGGAATACCAAAATCATAATGTACAAGGAATCTAAGAGAATATTACTTACTTGATGCAAACATTTACACCGCTCAACCCTAGTTAAACGGGCCAGCCCTAGCGGGTTTCGGGCTAGCCCTAGCGGGCTTCGGACTAAATGGTCCGGACCGAAAAAGCCCTGATTTAAACGGGCTACTAATAAAAGGACCTAACCCTGTTTTTTTCCGGGCTAAACGGGCCGGCCCGTCGGACCAAAGAACATTTAACATCTCTATTCATAGCTACCTTCCAGAAATGCCCCACTCATTATTGAAAATTAAGGAACCTAAAAGTGGGTTAATTATAAAGTCACGTTAATGTCTTTATTAATTTGATTTACAGTAGATATGAGCCCTCTTTAGACACATTTTCGTTATCAATCTGTCATTTTATTTTTTTTATAGATTGTAAATTATTAATATTTTGGAATTAAATTGTAATTGTGTTTGAGATATTAAATCGGCTTACCAAGAACTTAATTATATCAGTCTCTTTTCAAATAGTACAAGAAAAGTTTTATAATTTGTAGTATGTGTATTCTTGTTAACTTACATTGGTTGCTACTCACATGATTGTTCTTTAATGCGTTGTTATTACCTTTTATCATTATATTCTAATTTTTTTTTTTTTTCAAGTGAGACTGTATAACAGCTTGTATAGTTGGTCTCGAAGAACTTGTACTTGATGGATCTTTTTATTGGAAAATATTAAATAAATTATACTTTTATCTTAAGGTAAAAGACATCAATAACTTGTCATTTATTTATTTTTAACACTGTAATAATTCCACATTGTGACAGCATGCTAATTACCCATTTTCGAAAATGTTGTAAAAACACCACCAAATTCTCAAACCCTCATTTTTCTTTTCCTTACTTCTACATCCGGTTGATATGAGCAATAAACGAGTCCATCTCGAGCCTCGATGACCCGCCCTTCTTCGTCGCAGCCCGAACCATCTTCCCGACATCCTCCGCCCTCCTCCGCACCCTCTCCCCTTCCCCGGGCCCCATCAGCCTCCTCACTGCATCTTCCACCGCCTCGGCCCGTACCAGCTCAGCCCGCCCGGCCCACTCATTGACCACAATTCCCATCCCCAATACCCCCACCACCAGCGTCGCGTTCGCTGGCTGGTCTGCATGCATGGGCCACGCGGCCACCGCCACTCCACCCACGATGCTCTCCACGCACGAGTTCCACCCGCAGTGGCTCACAAACCCTCCCACCGCCTCGTGGTCAAGTATTCGAGGCTGCGGGGCCCATCCCCTCCACCCTTTCCTCGAAACCCTCCGGCAGGCCGAGCCTCCTGCTTGGTCTGCCAAACACATCGCATGTGTCGGCATCCCTGACCACCCATAAGAACTTCGCCCTGCTCCTCTCGATCCCAGTCGCGATCTCCTCCACCTGCTCGTCGGTTAGGGAAATCGTGGTCCCAAACGAGATGTAGACCA